AGACATGTCAACATTGGAAGCATAAACATTTGTTACTTAAACGAGTCCCAATTCAGAATCTCTGAAAGAAAAGCAAAATCACACCTCCATCTGTAATGAGTCAACTCATTTTAGGCTACAAGTGTAAATCTTTTCTGTTGTATAAAAAATGTATACTCACCACTGTTCTAAGTTGTTTAGTGGCTGTTTCTTGCAGTTGTTAGTGGCTGTTCTAAGTTGTTAATGGCTGTTTCTTGCAGTTTGCTAAGACAAAATTCCTTCCTAATTCCTGTACACAGCTTACTGAGATGACTTCCAAAGGAAACTACATGGGCTTGTAAACTACAACTTCTTGTAACCTTGGGCTAGGCAAGGCTGCGTGCAGGTACTCAGGTGCAAGACAATCAGAAACTAAAACAGAGCCCCCAGAATTTCAGTTTGAGCATTGAGATTACACGCACCATTGCTCAGGTAAAATGGATTACATACAGGAGCAAATGAGGAAATGAGTAGAAAAGCAAACAGGCCTGAATCCAGGACAGGGTCTCTTCCTGTTGAGGTTGGGTTAGTGACTCATTGGGCTCTTTCAAAGTGATTGATAACCTATTTAGACTATCAATCCCTGGTGCCCTTGCCCAGGGAACTTTGGGGATACATTTGTCTTTTGTCTTGCGGTCTGGCCCACAGCAGGGAGTGTGGGTCCCTTCTAAAGTTTCAAAGTCACCTCATCTTTCACATTGTCTCTGAGGGCCTGGCCCTGTCTGCCTGCCTATAATTCTCTAATTCAGCTACCTACAACAGCAACAGCATGTTTCAATTATTTTTAAGGTTTTAAAAGATACAGATTCATGAAGACCTACAACTTGTCCTCAATTATTAGGGGCCAGAACTTCAGAAACGGCAAAGATGGTAAAAACCCAACTCCTCTGCCTGCCTGGTTTCTTTTAATGCCAGTTGCAAGGGAGATAAATTGGTTCTACTTCTCTTGAGGCAGGAGTTCCCATCTGTGACTCAGAGAAATTTCCCTGAGTGACCCTGGCCGGGAGGGCAGCTTGTGGCTCCTTAAAAACCACGGAGGCGCCGGGGAGATGGCTCAGTAGAATAAGCACTTGCCTGGCAAGCACAAAGGCCTGAGTTTAATCCCCCATTCTGCCAAAGGGGGAAAAAATTGTGTGTTTTTTTGCCAAGGTTTTAAGCAGACTGTATCTTGAGCCTACCAAATTTGTGATGCCAGCAACGTACACAGCCAGTGACAAGGCCACAGGACACCATAGTCATCGTAATGGATCAACTCACATTTTAGATTATAAATGTAAATCTTGTGTTTTCTGTTGTGTAAAAATGTATACTTACCACTATTCTAAGTTGTTCAGTAACTAGTGACTGTTTCTTGCTGTTTGCTAGATAAAATTCCAGTAAGCCTCACCAATTCCTGTGAGCAAAGTTAGCTTTCAGAGATGATTTAAAGGAAACTAAATGGGCTTTAACTTCTTGTAACCTTGGGCTATGCAAGGCTGCCGGCAGGTACTCAGGTGCAAATTAACCAGAAATTGAAACAAAAGCCCCGGAAATGTAGTTTGAGTTGTGGTCCCAATCACTCTAAAAGCATTATTTTGTGTCAGACAATGCATTTGTTTACCAAACTGAATGTGGTCAGACAATGAATTTGCTTATCAAACTCAATGTGGTTCCAGGTTTTAAAACCCCTCCCTGCTTCCTGGGCAGCCACCTTTGGGTCCTCTTCTGCATGAGAGCAGACCGGGGCCCTGAGCTCAGTAATAAATGGCTTTCCAAATTCCAATCTGGTTAATCTGGTTCATATCCTGAGTGACTCATAACAGTCATGACCCTCCGAATCAGCACCAAACACACAGGACTGTAGTTGGTATGCAGCAACCTCTGTGGCTGCAAGGGGCGAAGAGATGCGCAGGGGGATGGTGAATCCCAGCTGGGTCTGCCAGAGACGGGAGCAGGGAGCGTGGGTTTGTGCCCCTCCCACCAGCTGTCCAGCGCTGCTTGGAACCAACTGCTCGCAATTTCAAAGAACTTATTCCTTCCTTATCGAATTGAGCAAAGCTAGAGGGTTTAAACTCTATCTGCTGAACCTTTGCTCTACCCTCCTTGTCCCTTTCGCAACTTGATTTTAAAACAGTACTCCACACTAAAGTTTATGGTGGTCTTAGTGGCACGAATACAAAAACGAAAAAATCTCAACAATCATTTTTATATACATCTATGGTCCTTGAAACTTTTTCCCATTTTTAACTCAATCGAACGTTTTCCCTGTTAGGATTCTCCCAGGCCTTTTTCTCTCTCCGAGCTCCTTTATCTCGGCCCTAGCAAGCCTCCAATCCCAAGTCTACACCTAGTGCACCAGTGCCAATGCAGGCTTGCTGGCTCCCGACATCCACTTCCCTCCCTGCTGTGCAGTGTTCCGAAGTGACTCCTCCGCCCAGTTACCTCATGCCGGCATCCAGTTTGGGGCAAGAAGCAGGAATCTGCTGGTCTCAGTCAGATCAGGTCTACCCAGCGAGACAGGGCGGCAGGAACGAGAGAAGTAGACAAAAGCTGGGCCACACTGCGGCAGCACAGTGACACCTACACTTACACGGTTGTGTAGTGACACATGACACAAGGTCACCCAGCAACTAGAAGCCAACCATTAACCAGTCAGGATGCTTATGTCCCAGACTTTGACTGTGGCAGCTTCTTTGCTTTAGGCACTGAGGCCTAGTCCCACCTACATTCCTTTGACTGATTTTCCGGATTCCACAGCTCCCTTCACCAGAGACGGATGTTTCATTTGGGGGCTTTTTGTCTTGGGGAGATAAGAATTCACTGTGCTGTTTAGACTGGCCTTAAAATGACTTCATAGCCACTTGCAGCAATCCTCCTGCCTCAGCCTCCCTATGTGCTGGGCCACAGCAATATATACACACAAATGTTTAAGACAGCACATTTTATCACAACTAAATCTTGGAAACCAAATGCCCATCAAATAAGGAATGGATAAAAAATACATATATTTTTACAGAATGGACTATTTTTCAGCCATAAAGGGTTTACCTTGAGAATTTATGGATGCAATGAGAAAATAAGTGAAATAAATCAGACCCACATATATACTATCTCCCTAGTATAAGAATCCGTGTAAATAAAATCTGAGGTACAACAAATACTGTGAAAGGGAAACTGTTCAAAGGGAATAACAACTGGGATGAAAGGAGAGAAGAAATAAACTCTAAGTGTACACACACACACACACACACACACACACACACACACACACGATACCTTGCATAACCGCACTGCTCATTTCTACTATTCTATTGAAAGAAACAGTTAATGCATTTTTTTTTACATGATTTTACATGCCTGTATCTGGTAACCTGAACAACTAATGTGAAAACAATATGCAATATAACAATTTTTGAATTTGTATCTTTAGTGAAATTATCCTGTTACTTTTAAAAAAATAATTTTTTAAAAGAGAACTGTCGGGGCTGGTGAGATGGCTCAGTGGTCTAAAGCACCTACTTAGAACAAGCTTGGCAAGGCATCAGGGACCGCGGTTCAATCCCCCAGCACCACATGCCAGCCAGCCCCGCCCCCTGGTGTGCTGAGCTGGCCACACACACACACTAAATAAATAAATTTAAAAAAAAAAAAGAGAACTGTCTGCAATTCATATTCCACTGTCTTCAAAAGCTAGCAAGATGCAATGGCTAAGAGCCATTCACACTTCAAATTTCAAAGTTATAACATCTGTACTTAGTTACTGTTATGGTTTGTGTATAGTTGTGCCCCCAAAGCCTCATGCAGGGGCAGCTTTTGGAGTATGAGATTGCTTGCTTTGGGTGTGGATGCAGCACCTGCCCTGGGGCAGGTAAACTGCATTACAATGTAAAGTGGGAAGAGAAGCCAGCTGCCTGAGCTGCTGCTCCCCCTCCCTTGCACTCTTGCTCTTTGCTGCCCACATGAAAGGTTGCTTTCTGCCATGTGCTGCTCTGCGTTGGACCCAGATAAATATAGACAGAAATCTCCAATAACTGTGAGCTAAATAAACCTTTCCTTCCCTCATTTTGTGTCGGGTATTTGTCCCAGCAACGAGAAAACAGTAACTAAGACAGTTACCCTTTAAGAAAGATTTGTACCATGAACTTCAATGTCTCAACAAAAAATATGGCAATTTTAAGCTTGATTCAACTTTTCCAAATAACTTTAGACTTAAGTTTATAAAAAGATTTTTTTTTTTTTGGCGGAACCGAGGATTGAACTCAGATCCTTGCGTTTGCCAGTCAAGCGCTTATCCTACTGAGCCATCTCCCCAGCCCCCTAAAAACAGATTTTAAAAGGATCTGACACAGCTAGCCTACCATCTTCACACAGCATTACTAATCTATACCCTACAGAATAGCAAAGTATGACTCCATGTTCCCTCAGAAGGCAACTTAATATTTTATTTATTTATTTTGGCGGTAATAGGGATTGAACTCAGGACCCTGCACTTGTCCTGCAAGCACTTATTCAACTGAGCTATCTCCCTGGCCAATATTTATTTTTATAAAGAACTAAGTACACTTCACAAGATGGAATTTTAAACACAGTGAAGCCTGTTCTAAAGATGAAGAATAAAAAAAACTGTTTTACAGCCGTTCTACTGGTCTCACTCTGCACTGTGGATTACCACCAACATTGAAACATACTTCCACCTGACAGAGATGAGAACAAAATGAGGCCCGAAGGCCAAAGCCCTCCTGCTGCCAGCACCCTGGGGCTCCAGCGTGCCCGGCCAAAGGGGAAGAGGGGAAGAGGAGAGCAACATGCTCCCAAGAGCCACACTCACGGAGCTACAGCATCCACTTTTAATCTCAGCTACGGACACCAGAATTGCAGTACAGTGACGGCAGATGTTACTTACGCAGCTCAAGGACAACACTGGGTCCTGCTAACATTTACAAGTGCTGACCAAAAGCTGGTTTACTGTGTAACTTATTCTAAAGTGATCAAATGACACACAAAACTCGTAAAGACTGCTTTATTGGTGACAATTAGTACAAGTCGATAAATATTGATCCCCAACGAAAAGCTCAGTTATTTATCATATTACTGATCCAGACAGCCAACTGGAACTGAGCCACGTAATTACTGAACTGCCTGAAATCATTCCGGCTTCTTGGGAAACGATGCCATAGCCAGCTGGTATATGGCATACACCGTTCCTGAAAAATACAAACAACAATTTACAAAACCTCTCAGGATGGGCTGGTGAGATGGCTCAGTGGTCTAAAGCACCTACTTAGATACAAGCTTAGCAAAGCACAGGGACCGCGGTTCAATCCCCCAGCACCACATGCCAGCCAGTCCCGCCCCCTGGTGGGCTGAGCTGGCCCCCCACACACACACACAAATAAATAAATAAATAAATTTCAAACAAACAAACAAAAAAAAAAAACCTCTCAGGCTTCCATATATACTCCAGCTCCAGCTCCAGTCACACAGTGAGAGCAAATTTAGCATGCACCGTGCCAGATGCTGGCAATACTGGAAATAAATACATGCAAAATATTTTAATGTAGTTTTAGTGTTAGTAAATTTAGGCAGAAACTGTTAAGATACCACATAATAATGTATCTGCCAACTTACAAGCTCCACAAATTTCTTTAAGTGAGATCAATAACATATGAAGCTGGGTATGGTGGCACATGCCTATGACCCCAGCACTCGGAGGAGGCTTGAGTTCCAAGCCAGTCTGGACTACATAGTAAGATCTTGTCTCAAAAAACCACACACAAAAAAGCACATGAGTAAGAACACATATTGCTATATTAACTTAAGATTTCTGAGAAATACTAAGGAAGATTCAAAAGCACCTTACCCCAGAGTCAGAAAATATGTGTGCATTCCCTAAAATGTGTTATCACATACAAAACAAGAATGAGATTTTTTCAATAATCATATTTAACATTAAAATTAGCCAATAAATGGTTTGTCTTAAAATGAATTTTATGTTTTAAATTATTACCAGAATACCTAAGGGAAGCACTGGCTGAAAAGATTATGGGATACTATCTCACTAAAAAAGCCAAAGGTCAGTATGCTGACCCACAAACGCCTCCTCCACTTTTCTCCACTCACGCAAAGGGTGAACTTTGGCAGGAACATGCGAGTCTCTGTAACTAGAGCCCTGCTTCTCCACACAGAAGCAAGAGCACCTTGAGTGCTGAAGATAACTCCCCGACGCCTAAAGTTCAGGGGCACAGTGCCTGCCTGGCGGTTCTGAGTCTGATTCCCAGTATAAAAAAAAAATCCAAGCTTGTGACATTCCCATCAATATGATATGCACAAATTACGCAAATACTGACAGTAATCATTCAAATTCTTTTTTTTTTTTTTTTTTTTTTTTTTTGGTGAAACCGGGATTGAACTCAGGTCCTTGCGCTTGCCAGGGAAGCACTTATTCTCCTGAGCCATCTCCCCGGCCCTAATCATTTAAATTCTGATGTTTCTAGGACTCCAACGTGTGATCCACTAGAAAACATCAAATCTCGGTGGAAGTACTGTTTGGTAAACATTTTACTTTACTAATAAATATGTATGTACAGGTTTGGTATGCTAAATATGGGGAGGGGTTGGTCTTCTTCACACTGGGTCTTATGTGAAGTTCTGGCTGGCCTTGAACTCACCTTGTAGCCCAGGCTGGACTCAAACTCAACTCCCAACAACCCTCCCGTCTCAGCCTCCGGAGTGCTAAGATTACAGGCATGTGCCCGGCCAAAACATATCGGAGTTAAAATGTTTAAAAAGTCCCTGCAATGGGAGAAAGAGGGTGTTTTTGGCTGAAAAATAGGATCCAGAGCCATTAGTAATGACACTCAGAAGTCATCTGTATCACAAGAGTAACCATAAAATTTTACTGGCTTATTGTTTTTCAGAAAGAGTGCTTACAGCCTATGCTTGGTCACCCTCTTCAATCCTTGTAGCAGGTACAATAAGAGAGCACAGTCTAGAGGCAGACTACCTGCACTAAATTACAGTCACAGCAAAAACAACAAAGTTATCATCACCGTTACTTTTCTATAAACATTCAATAAGCCAAATGCCTTACCACCCACTGTGAGAATCATAGTGGCTCTATACAAGAGGGCATCAGCTACCCCACCCTTTAGATGCACTGGAATTCCATTGTCCTCCTAAGTTGAAAAAAAAAAGACATTATTAGATGTGGCTTTTATTTCCAATTAAATTAAAAAAATAATCATTCAGGGGCCGGGGAGATGGCTCAGTAGAATAAGCACTTGCCTGGCAAGCACAAGAGCATGAGGTCAATCCCCGGTTCCACCAAAAAAAAGGTAATCATTCATATAAAATGAAACAGCTCCTTAAAAACATTGTAAACGTTAAAATTTAAAAGAATTATGATTTCCTTAATTTCAAATAAAAACTTTCAAAGCTATTTTGAGAACCAAGAAAGATACCCCCAAGGAATATATAAACATTACATAAAATATATGAGTCAATATATATATCAGTATCTATCTATCTATATATCTATATCTATATATTTAGTCCTAGGGAAGTCTCTTTTCCCCTTAAAAGAAAAACAAACAGAATTTTCATTTATATGCCTGGTTCCTAATCCAGCATCTGGCAAATGGTAGATATTTACTTTATCTGTTACATAAAATATTTTGTTTTTATGTAACATATATACTTTTTTTTTCAATTGAAGTTTTATTCTGGATAAATCAGACAACATAAGTCACTCAATCTAGGGCCAGCAAGATAGCTCAGTAGACTAAGCACCTGCTTAGGCAAGCACAGGAACTGGGATTCAACCTCTGGCACCACATGCCCTGCCGGCCCCACCCCCAGGCATGCTGAGCCTGCCACCAAGGCTGGGAGTGGTGACATATGACTGTAATCCCAGCGCTGGAGAGGCTAAAAACAGGAGGATCACTAGGTGTTCAAGCAGCATATTAACAATACTGTACCAAATGCATTTTAAAAAGTCAACATAAATAATTGACATTCTTTACTAGATCTCTATGTTTTAAATTGTCCATTTTTCTAAATTACTTCTTTAATTCACAAAATAAGAATACGCTATATTATGATCTGTCATATCCTATAGTCTGGCCCAACAGAACCTTAAAAGCCATTTTATTAGTCCACTGAAGCCTATCTTATTCTTTTAAATAGTATTCCACCATGCAAATATATCTTCACTGTATTAGTCAATTTCCTAATAATTTAGGCTACTGGGGTTTTATTAAATTAAAATCTTCCCATTTTTTTTTTCTTAGGCAATAATATCTCTAGCAAACATTCTGAAAGGCAGACATTCTTGGCTCAGGGTGCTAGCTCAGCGGCTTCAGCATCTGCCTGGCAGGCACAAGGTTCCAAGTTCGATCCCCAGTACTAGGGGGTGGCCAGGGGAGTAGACATTCTTAAAAGTAGACTTCCTAAATGACAAGGTAATTTTTTTGTTTTGCTTTTTGCTTTTTTATGTATTTGGTACAGGGTCTCACTACGTAGATAGGACTCGTAGTGATTCTCCTGTTTTCAGCCTCCCAAATATTCTCTCACTGCTGGGACAAATACCAGCAATCAAAATGAGGGTAGGAAAGGTCTATTTAGTTCACACTTACTGGAGGTTTCCAGACACTGAAGGAGAGACTGGGGTGCTGCCAGTGTCCAGGATGACCCTCACCAATCTGCTAGCCCAGCCCACCCCGCCCCTCAGGCCCGCCTCTCGGGCCCGCCCCTCAAGCCACTTGTGGCAACTCCAGTCACCACTACTTATATGAGGCTTGGGGGGGTGGGGGGGGGAACAACTAGAAACAAACCATAACATGCTGGGATTATAGGAGGGCAACACCACACCCATTCTCAATTGCTTTCTCTGCATGCCCTGGGTGCGACGCTGGCACAGCAGGCTGAGGATGAGCCCCAGCTGCTGTGCTCTGCCTAGGCAGGCACTTTAGTCCACTGAGCTATCTGCCTGCCCGGGTGATTGGTTTTTAATAATATTCTCAAATACATGCCATCACTTTTGCACCAATTATACCACTCCTTAGCATGAATATATATCTGTCTCATACCTGGCAAACATACCTACTTTAAATCCTTCTAAAACCCTCTCAACCAGGTAAGGAGAAAGTGATCTATATTAACTGTTCATCTATTTTACTATGACTGGTAACATTTTTACAGAAGCTTCACTTTTCACTTCAGAAACGACTTGTCGGTCCCATGATATAAAGTCAAATGGTTGTGACTCCAGGTTAGGAGCATTTCTTGGTGACACTGAGATGGCTAAGTTGGTCCACAACACATCTGTGGCACGGGAGAGGAAAGAGAACGAGAGCCATCTGGAAGGGCTGGCCAACCGCAGGGCCTCTGCATGCCTGAGCCCAGGCGCCTCCACGCAGGCAGTGGTCTACCATCTAATCTGCTTCTAGGCACATCCACAGTCCATGGCCAACTGTGCTTCCCGGCCACGGCTGACTTACAGTTCACCTGGGCGGAGGCCAGGAAACCAGTCACGCTCAGGTCTGCATCTCCAGCACCTTGGCTGCTGGGTGTGGCACAGTAATCTGCATTTCCAACTGATTTTGTAGTTCTTTGGATAAAGATTAAGCTTTTGTTACATTTTGAAAATTTGCTTTCAATTTGTCCCATCTATTAGACCTGCAAATAAAGCCTAAATTTTTATGCTACTAAATCTTAGCAATGTTCTTGTTCAGTTTTTCAAACATTTTCTTGAGACTTCCTCGTGCCTAAGATTATAACAGTCTCCTTATATTTTAGTGTTTTGAGGAAGTAACATTTATACATGTAATTCACTTTCTTATTATACTACATAAAAAACACTAACTTTACTTTCTTGAACTTTTTTTACCAATAATAACATATTGTGTATTTTCTGACATGGATACTGACCTGCTGTTAAATGTCCACGTATGTATTTGGTCTGTTTCTCGGTCCTTTCCAAGGTCTGTCTATTTCTTTACAGTTACTTCCCCAAGGGTGCCAGTTCATCACAAACTTCTCCAAAAATAATTACCATTGAGGCAAAGTGAATTAAAACCAACCTGAGCCCTGTTAATACACACTGCTACCTTCAGTGCAGTAAAACCAACCTGAACTGCAGAGGGAAATCCTTTCTCAAAAAGAAAAAGAGAAAATTACCATTGATCCACAGCCCTTTCCTGTTCTCAGCTTAAATACAGGGTCTCTTAAACAAAGCAAATGTTCAAGCCAGCTGCCCAGGTTTTTGTTTTTTAATGCTGACATAAGAGGCTCATTAATAAGTAGACAGCTCTAGATTTACTTTATTATCAGCCTGCTTTAAACTATTTCAGTACCTGAAAAAGCTTCTGTTTCTGTGGAACTTTATTTTCAAAATGCCTGCGTGCAGCAGTGCTGATGGTCCTCTGAGAAAGCTGTCGGAGAGCCTGAAAGGGAAAAGCCACACACGTCAAGCAGATTTAGACCTTAAGGACAACGGTTAAGCCAGCCATTTTCAAGCCACATGTGGGGGCACACACGTGCAATCTCAGGACTCCAGGCTAAGGCAGGAGGATCACAAGGCCAGCTTGGGCTACACAGCAAGTTCAAGGCCAGCCTACATTACATAGTGAGACCCTGTCTCAACCAAAATATCAGCTATGTAATATTTAATGAAGTAAATCAGCTATTTTCCAGCCCTCACGCTGCAGGACACCACATTGGTGCTGTAGCAGTACAGGTAAGAGCCAGCAGTCTGCTGTTCCGGTTTCCGCCCAACCTCTACTGCACTCCTGCCACTTTCTGCAGTCTCCAAAGACCACAATCATGACCTTCGCCTGAGCTGAACCAGCAGCCTTTTGTAACCTTGAAGAACAACAAATAATGTGCAGACTTAACCAATACGCACTTAGTTAAAATGTTTTCACTTAAGAACCCCCTATAGTATTAAAAACCTATTACTGACCACCAAGCACAACAGCATGATTTAAATTTAATTAAAATGTTCCCCTCACATTTTTTTGTGGTGCTCAGCTCAAACCTATGCCCGGGAAATGTTCTGCTGCTAAGCAACATTCTCAGCCATTTACAAAAACCTGAATATGGTGCAAATCTTAAAAGGCCTTGTATTACACAGTGAATTGAACAAATGAAATAAATTACTTTGTAAAGTAAATGACAAAGAAACTTCGTAAAACACTTGCTAAATACAGTAATACAAAAGAAAATGATCACGATTCATTTTCCGTTTTTTCCCCCGAAATTCGGGAAAACGTTTCTCTTCCCCAAGTCGGTGGAGGGAGAAATGGCAAAGCAGAACGGCCTCGAGAAGCCAACACGATGCTTCAGCCACTCACTGCCCTAAAACTGGACGACTTCGGACGCCAGAACCACCGAACTCGCAACCTTCGGGTCACCTTTCCGCCCGCGGGGCCGCAGTTCGCTCTCCGGAGCGGCAGGGCTCTCCGGGGTCCGTCCTGGCCGGGAAGGCCGCGCGCGGAGGGCAGGGCCAAGGTGACTCCGGGAACTGCCCGGCCGGAGTTCGGCCCCGCGCCCCTTGGCCCCTGCTCGCCACCTCCGCCACCGTCGCCGACGCAAGCCAGACCGCCTTACCAGCAGACTCCGCAGCATCTTGCCGGTTACAACGCACCAGCCGGGACGCCCGACCACCAGGAACACAAGCCGCCGGGGCCGGAACCGGAAACAGAACCGGAACCGGAACGGAGGCGGTGCAGGCCCTGGCGGTGCGCAGGCGCGCACAAACGCAGCACCTCCCCCGCCGGGTGGGGCCCTGCGCGGCGCGCCCTGCTCCCGCTCGCCCCCTCGAGGTGCGCGGTGGACCTGCTAGCCGCGCGTCCGGGGCCGCACTGTTCGTGAGCTCAGTAAAGGCCTCAGGACGATGTGCGCCGGGAAGCTGGTGTGTAGAGCAAAAAGGAGCGAAGGGAGCAGGCTTTGCGCCACCGGTGGCTCAGCAGCCGAGAGAAAAGCAGAGAACGGTGCTTGGTGACGCTGGGGACAGAGACGACTCCGCACACGAGGACACGCGAATCCCTGCCGCGGACTTGGCTGTGCGGTGCCGAGAGTGCCGGGTTAGCGTTCCTGCGTCCCCATTGGACCATTTAATGGATACAACCTAAATGGATGCATGATTGTGCTTTTAATTGTTGGTTCGCCATAGCTTTCTCCAACCTCATACCCGTCTTGTGATTTTCCACTAATATTACCTATGGGATTATACTTGTAATCTTGATTATGGTTGTGTCACCTTAGACCCTCCTCACCTCATGGTTTTACTGTATAAAGCTCCCTTGAGAGGAGGGTGTTAGGTTTTTTGGCAGTGAAGCATAAGTTAAAAAAAAAAAAGGATGGAAAGGCCTTTACTGCCATTGTGCAGGACGCAGAGAGAACCTGAGACAGTGAGGCTGAGACTGTATGGGCTTTTGCTAAGGGCAGCTCTGGAGGGGCAGGTTCAGGGACACGTGAGGAGTGTTGGAAAGGTAAAAGGAAGTGTGTCCAGGGCTGGCGTGGGGAAGAAGGGGCGAGTGGTCGGTGGGAAGAAAAGCTGTTGTTTTGGGATTCAGGCATGTTGAATCAGAGCCATGATAACCTAGCTGTACTGAATCTACCAGAGTTCTCTGCCACCCACTCAGGATCCCTTCTCCCTTAGACAACTTTTCTTCCAACTCTTAACCTTTAACGTTCCTACAATTCATTCAGTTTTAGAGAACACAGATGTTTATGGGACATGAAGCAGGCTGGGCGTTTTATTTCCCTTGTATTATTTGGAGGTCCTATACCATCCCTGAATCACTCTGGCTCTGCCCCCAAAGAGCCAAGGATTCTCATTTAGATCCTCATGTTGATGAGACTCTTTCACTTACCAAAGTGCAATATTCTCTTTACTAGATCATGCCATCGCTAAACAAATCCGAGTTTTAGAAAATAGCACTTTCAAGTTACCATCCCATTTCTGTTCTGCTCTTCAGAAGATGACTTCTTTTACTTTTTTTCTTCTTTTTTCCCTACAGAGGTCTCACTGTGTATTACAGGCTAGCCTTAAACTTGCTTATGTAGCCTAGGCTGGCCTTGAACTCGGCCTCCTGAGTGCTAGGATTATAGGTGTGCATCACCACACCCAGGTTCTAATCTATTCTTGATCCCTTTGGGCATGATTTTATTGCTGTTGGTAGGATCTCCCATAGTTTCATGTTGCTGAATAAACTATCCATTTCAATACTCAGCTTCTCGATTTGTCAGAACCATGTAACATCATTGACCGCTACCTCAGGATTCACATCTAATTTTGAAATAAACCATAAATGCAATATAGTGTAACATGATGCAGTTTGGGCTGAAAGCACACACACACACACACACACACACATACACACACACAGGTGACAATGACCAAAATGACATTTCCTTCAACTCAAGGCAAGGTGGGATGGCATAGGGACAACTATTCAAGGTACCTGAAGACAGCAAAACAAGAGCAAAGAGGAAGGCAAGGCTACAGCTCAGCAGCACAACACCTGCCTGATTAGTGCAATGTCCTTAGTTCAATTCCCATTACAAAAAATAAAAATAAAAAATGGAGACAGCTTCTTTTCCTTCCCTAAAATGTAAGCAGGCTACCCATCCAAGGGCAGGTGTATCACTCGCACCACCTCCATCCCCTCCCCCCGCTTCACTCATGTTCCTTTTGTTGTCTTTTCTGCCACCTGGAACTGGTGCCCCTCTGCCATGGCACCCTGCCTTGGAGCCAGTCAATTATGGACTGAAACTTCTACAAACCATGAGCCTAATAAAACTTTCCTCCCTTAATTTTGGGTGTCAGGCATTTTGTCTTAGAAATGAGAGAAAAGAAACCCTGACTTTGATCCTGCCTAAACTTCCAGAAGTCTTATGATTTGGTTGGTTGCTCTGTGTGTGTGTGTGTGTGTGTGTGTGTGTGTGTGTGTGTGTGTGTGTGTGCAGATGACTCTGGAATCACACAGCACAATTTAAATCTACTTCCAAATTGACAGAATAACATACATGATTCTGGTTAGGATTCCTTATTTTGTCACTGTTGTGGTCAAGGTTTACAAGACAATGATTATAATACAGTACACATAATTTATAGGACTACTGTGTAATATTCACCCAAAGTATCAAATGGGAGAGTTCAGGAAATCTGTCCATGCACTAGAGAAACAAATAATCCAGCTAAGGACCTAGATCTCATAGGAATGTCTTCCACCAGTTCAGTTGAAGGCCTAGACCCACAACATCTCATGCAAGAAGGATATGCACGGGGAAGGCCCCAAAGTGAGTGGTAGAAGCTAGCAAGTCTGCTCCAGCAGGCTAAGGAATCTGCACTGGAGCCAGGAAATGATGCTCATGGTGAGCTTCACCCAAAAGAACCTCAGCACCTCTGGCAACAGTGAGGACCTGAGCTCCTCCAACAATGACAGCAGCCAGGTTCATATCAAGAAACCAGCACAAGCTTCGCCAGGAGAACCAACACACCATCTTCTCTTCCACTTTTTTTTTAATGCTGCTGTCAACAAACGAGGGGGCTTCCATACCTACAACCATGCTGATTCAACTCAGCTGGGTGTTACAAACTGACCACTAGTTAATCCAACAATCACATAACCCTATCGATCAATTATTAAAAAGTACATGGCCTTTATAAACAGAGCACTACTGAATTTTTTTTTATCTGTTACCATTTCATATAATTTTATATATAAAAGGTTCTCAGGAAAAGCAACACATGTGCAGAGCTCCCAAAGTACTAGTGAGGTGGCCTCTCACCCTTCTTTTCTGCAGTGGGAAAGCTGAACAGAGATTGAGAAATATGATTGTTCTTCACTGTTCCCACATATGTAGTAAGTTTTTCAAGTACTACTCCTTTGCTGGTGTTTTTATTTTTTCCTCCAATGTGAGAATCAGGCTTTTCAGTCTTTGACTTTTTTTGTAACTTCTTGGTCAATACTCTATTGAAGGCTGGAAAGAATAGTAGCACCCTAATTTACACTGGCCCAGGACTTCAGGTTCTTCATAACATGCTCTATGAATGGTTGCTGCAAAACATTTTTTTTTTTCATCTTGCTCTATTAGCCATTTCAAAATGAGGTGTTCTGCAGGATGTTCCTAAACATGAAATCTTCCATCCTTGCCACCAGGGTGTACATGAAGATCTAGCATGCACCATCTTTTGGGCATTTCTTTGTAGGTGGCTTAACAAAGCTAGAGAAAATACCTTCTGAGAGCTCACAATGGCCTCTGAATCTTTCTTTTTTTTTGCCCCCCCCCATAATTGTATTGAAAAACAAATAGCAATGAGACAGTTTCAAATCAAATTGGTAGGACAGTTTCAATAATTCACATATTGCATACATTCTTCCTAGTGGTTAACTGCTGTACAAGATGTGGACATGATATCCTATTTACAAACACCAGTAGAACACATCACTCTATTCATTAAGAGAATGTAACTATATATTTATCCTAAGCACTTTGAATATACCTTTTTGTTAAGTTCCATTATTTGAATATTATAGGTGTGTAAACTCAGCAAAATATTCTAAAAGTGTCCAGTAGCCCATAATAATATTGGGTCTTCCGCTTCACTGGCAATGTCAGAAATTGTTGACCTGAGTCCCCTACAGCTCAACATAACAGAATGGCTTTACTTCTTGTATTTCATTTTTATACTTTTCTGCTGGATGGTTAAGACCAAGGTAAAGCAGGACCTATGCAACAAGAGTTGTAGCTTTTGGGTCTGATAAGGTCAGTGAAATCCCCTCAGGATTTATCCTGAGATCTTGTACCTCAGATTGTAGAACCTTTGTCAGTGTCAGTCATGTGGATGAGTCACGGCCATTGCTTGGCCAATGTGCTCTCTGTGAAAGCCTGAGAGAATGTTTTCTCTCCAAGTGACTCTCCTTAGGCACACTCTACATCATCGATCACTTTCCCCTTTGGCCCCATAATCTCCTTGATCAGAAAATTTGGGACACTACTGAGGTACATGATGTTATAGTACAGGTTCTCGTATGTCTGGACTCTTAATTGCCCTTGGAAGGCTAGGGCCAAAATGTTGGCTTTCCTTGCAGCCCTCCTTTTTCTCTAATTTTGGTCTGCAAACTTAGGTTGTTAACCATCCAGAAGACAAGCTTATTGTTATTACCATACAACTTAGGCTGTTAAGCTTAACCTCACTATCTGTCTGCATGTCAAACATCTTAGGCATAATATGGAACAGGTATTTTTCATCGAGTATTGATATGAACTTTAAGTCCCTACAGAATATGATAAAAGACATTTAAAAATTAGAATATATTTTAAAAATAGGCATAAAGAATTATATACTTATGTTTACACATAAGTCCAAAAATCTCACCATATGCAACCTTGAAGCAAGACAGTCCCACATTATTCCTTTTCCTGTCTCTTGCTTTCATTCACCAGCCCCTTCTTCTTGAACAACCATCTACCTGAGAGACATCATAGCAGCAACTGTCATATCATGACAAGCAGCCTATATTCAGAAGACCAGAATGACAGGCACTCCAAGCATGAAACTATTACAAATTACCACCTGCAGTGCAGTTACTTAGTTCACAGGTATCAGTATATATAGTTAGTCAAGGTGAGAATCTTTCCAATTTACTGCTAGATTAAAAAATCTTCTTAAGATTCTCAGGATCATTGCCTTACCCATCTTCTA